TTACAAGCTGGTTTTACTATATTATATGGAACCAACTTGTTAACTTCTGCTTGATATTGCTATCTCATTATTGACCAAACTGATAATGCAACTTATTATACCCCCGCTCCGAAGGAGAGGGGGGTATACTGTTTTACCCTTGTGTGTCTGTCTGTCTGTCCGTGTGTCCATCCGAAACAAATTTTTCGTCGCAGTTTTCTCAGCAACTACTCATCGTAGATGCTTGAAATTTTAATACAATCTTCTTTGAGGCATGCCATATAGTGGGATACATTTTTGCTCAAATCCGATGTCAACTTCCTGTTTGTCTGCGCGTCTGTCCGTTTCATACATAACAAAGTTTCGTCGCAGTTTTCTCAGCAACTACTCATTGCAGATGCTTGATATTTTAACACAATCTTCTCTGAGGCATGCAATACATTGTGATACATTTTTGTTCAAATCCGATGTCAACTTCCTGTTTGTTTGTGCATCTGCCTGTTTCTTACATATAAAATTTCATCACAGTTTTCTCAGCAACTACTTATCACAGATGCTTGAAATTTTAAAACAATCTTCTCTGAGGTATGCCATATGGTGGGATACATTTTTGTTCAAAATGATGTCAACTTCCTGTTTGTCTGTGTGTCTGTCCGTTTCATACATAACAAATTTTCGTCGCAGTTTTCTCATTAGTTATTCATAGCAGATGCTTTAAATTTTATTACACTCTTTGTTGAGGCATGCCATATGGTGGGATTAATTTTGATATGAATCTGATGTCAACTTCATATTTTTCTGTGCATCTGCCTGTAATTGAACTTGTGTACATTAATATGATAGAGCTTATTTACATCTGAGCGGGGGTATTACTAGTGAGCATTGGCTCACAGATTTCTTGTTATTTATTAATGTTCACATCTATTATACTTACATTTGATGTTGTCTTCCCTTATATAACAAAGCTAATAAAATGGAAATTCAAATTTCTATGACATGCAGTTGGTCACATGATCAGACTTTCTTGAGTATGGAAAGCAAACTGCCCGAGCCATTTGGAAAGTTCCGATTGTGACGTCAAATGACGTAGATACGTTATGTTGCATTTCCAAAACAAAGTCTAAATAATGCCTATATTTCTTTGTAACATGACTAAAAAGGTAAAATATAAATATAAGAAATAAAATATCATTTTTAGAGTTTCATTGGATATGACATGAAGTCGGTACATGATCAAATCTACTATAACGCCCTTCGGGCATAATAGAATTTGATCACGTGACGGACTTCATGTCATACCCAAATGAAACTCTAAAAATGATATTTTCTTTCTTAAATCTATATTTCAATAATCATTGCCTTGAAGTTAAGCTTTGGGGGTATTAGCAGGTAAGAGTACATAAAAAAATAAAAGATTATTCTTATGTGTCACATCATATGAAGACATGGTAATCCATCCAAGGGAGCAATGATTCGTATCTGATCTGTTGTTCTATATGTGAATAGATTTTTACAGGAAAATTACTGTCCTGCTGTGTTTACAAAATCCCTCCTCCTAGGTAATTACATTAGCTGAAGGTAATAAGAGATATTGGTTAATGAAACAGAAAAACAGTCCAGCTGCACTGATATTTTAGATGATAGGTAATCAGTGATGAGTATTGACAATCTTTAACACAGGGTGTGTATCAGGGGAGAATAATCATCACTCTGTCTTGGTTCTTTATTTAATCAGTGTCAGTGTGTATCAATAACATGGATCACCCAGGAACGGATTCAAATGGAACTACCCCCCACCCCCTTAAAAAAATCTGAAAGCCAACTTAGAGTATTATTGTGACATACTCACTACTTACTAGGTTGCATATAACAAGATTAGAATAGTGGAAATAGTCCTAGTTTTGAAGTAACATACACAATTGAGAAGGATTTGGGAACTTGTTCAACAGAAAAGGGGGGGAAAAAGAGACAAAACATCATAAAACATCATAAAACCTGCCATCTGATAAATTACAGTACTACAACACATGTATAAATTATCATGCATGTTTAAAATTAATCAACACTTGAATGAGAGAATGTTTAGGAAAAGGGTTTTCTAATGTCATGACTTTTGAATTCTTGATATTAGTTATTGCTACATACCAATGCAAGGGTGAAATTTTGCTTAAAAATTGCATGGTGGGAAGGTAACAAAGTTTATAAGCAATGACTGATTGTATGTCGTTTAACGTCCCTCTCAGAAATTTTTCACTCTTATGGAGAAGCCACCACTTGATGGTGTAGAGCTACAAATTTTGTCCTATGCTAGGCACTTGGGGCCATTGGGTAGTGAGGGATCTTTTTCATGCCAGCACCTACTGCAACATGAAACCTCGGTTTATACGGTCTCATCCGAAGGACTGCATGGTCTTCATGTACCACAGTGGTATTTGAACCAGCGATGTAAGGATCGAGTCCTTACTTCGTGACTCTGTGTCTTACCACTGTGCCACAGTAAAAGCAATGATAATTTGTGAGGAATAATAATTGAATAAAAAATATTCAGCAGATTAAGGAGAAGTAATGATGGTGGGGGGAAATATATAGCAGATTTTAGAAGGATTAATGATTGTTGGGGGAAATATATAGCAGATTTTTGAAGGATTAATGATTGTTGGGGGGGAATATTCAGCAGATTTAGGAGGAGTAATGATAATAGGAGGAAATATTCAGCAGTTTTAGGAGGAGTCATGATAATAGAGGGAAATATTTTGCAGATTTAGGAAGAACGTTGATGAATCAGAGGAAATATTCAGCAGAGATTTAGGAGGAGTAATGATGATGGGGGGAAATATTCAGCAGTTTTAGGAGGACATAAATAAAATGATGGTAGAAGGAAATTTTCATTAGATTTAGGAGGGGCATTTATGCACTGTAGGATATGTAAAGAAGATTTAGGAGGAGTAATGAGGATTTAGAGGAAAAATGAAGAAGATATGAGATTGAGGAGGAGTATAATGAACAAGAGGACATATTCAACAGATGATGGATGAGCAATGATAAAATTGAGGAAATATTTATCAGAAAGCAGATTTACAGGGAGCAATAATAAAATTGAGGAAATATTTTTTTATGGATTTTGCTGGAGAAAATTGATGAACTTGAGGAAATACGCAGAAGATAGCAATTTTTGGAAGTGTAATGATGAATAAGAAGAAATATTCAGAAGTTTGTAGATTTTGGAGGAGTTATATGATAAACTAATGTAAAACATGCATTCTGCAAATTTAAAAAAAATTAAGGACATTTTTGAATGACTATTATAGACCATCTACAGAGAACAGAAGCTCTAATGAACATATCAAAATGCAGTATGTTCTGTCTGGAATCTGGGTGAATGTTAATGGAAACATCCTTTTGTTTGATGGTTATTGGGAACAGTGCTATGATCTTAGACATTCAAATCAATCAGACACTGCAGTGACAAAACAGGGATGCAAATGTCAACTTTTCAAATATTATTAACTTTTCTGACATTACAAAAGGACAACAAAAATGTGATGGATTCAATATTTATAAGAAAAGTGGTTTCTGCTCTGCAAAATCAGCTCACGCTGTGTAATATGCAGGATTTGTTCTGTGTGTCTTCTTATGGTTTACTTTTGATCTTGAAGTGTAGAGTGTTTTATTGACTATATATTCAAAGGGCAGCAATTATTGAGCATTGAATTTTCATTTTTTAGTTCACCAATTAAGAAAAAATTAATTTATAGACCAGCTACGTTCAACAGAAAGTTCAACAGTAAGGGTATATGTTTGTGATTTTTGGTGAGCAAAATAGGAATGGCTGTACATGTTCAATGTGACAGGAAATGTTAGAATGACTGTAAATTGAGTCCATTTGCAATGAGATTAGGAATCATGAAAGAGATGTAAGCAGCCTAATTGTGCAGTAATAACAAGGGGCATGGTATAATAGGAGAGAGGTTCGCAGGCCAACATCAACATTAGTGTGACTGATATTGATAACCGTATGGCATCTCACAATCAAAGAAGCCCTACAAGAGTTTGGATTTATATACCAGCGTGGATATGTACTGAGGGCTCTTTCTGTTGAAGACTGATCACAAATAATGATTGCTAATCTTTAATCCTATGAACTAGGGGGCCATACAAGAGGATTTGGGTATTCATAATTAATTACTCCTGCCTTGTATATAGGAAGCCTGTATGTACACTGATCAGCTGTGATTGTGTTGATATAAGTGCTAAAGTTATAGCTGGAAAACTATGGAAAGGGCCAAAGACCCTGTGCTTCTTTTTTTTTTCATGAAAAGAGATTTGTGTTGGACATTGTCATAGCATAATGTCTCAATTATTTCCGAAGTAGGTGTTGGAAATTGTTGCTTTAATGGAACTCAGCCATCTGATCAGCTCTAGATCCAAATCATAAAGGATGCTGGATTAAAATTAAGCAAATTTCGTGATGGACTGGATTAATTATTTACTGAAATTATATAGCGGTGATTATATCTCTCTTCATGAACACTGGCCTTTGATTACCTATCAGATCATTTAGCAGATTTATGTATACCCGTGGGTAGCATGCATATTGAAGATTTCTAAATGGATTTCTGAATTTTGTGTATTTGGTCAGTGAGGGAAAGCTTACTAAAAGAAATTGGCTTTATGGAAGGTTTACATGCTGTTAATCTTCATTTCTTGATTGAGAAACTTACCATATTATAAAAAGCTCTGGAGGGATATTGATTGACTAGCAGGAGTCACATTATTGCCATATTATCTACACTGTTGAAGAAAATTGTCACAGTTCAATTACTTCATAAATTATTAACTACTGTTCCTTTATTAATTTTTTTCAATGGAAAAGTTGTATGTATATATGTATTCCTTGTGAAGGAATGCAAGTTTTAAGAAAGGCATTGATCATTGTGAACTGAGATCCTGCGGCGAGAATGAACATTACATGCACTGCTTGGTGCAAATTAATTTCTCAAAATTTCCCTAAAAATCGCTACCATAATGGGAATTTTACCATATTGTGGAACTGATTTTCAGCAGAAGTATGTGACATTTCCACTAGACTGTTACTTTCAGCCCCTGAATGATAATCATTAGGAATACTTTGAAGCCAATGTGTTGTTGTTTTATGTGATTTTTATGAAAGTTAAGAGAGCTGGGATTATGGTGCTGGACTGGTTCTCTAACCTCCCCAGCCTACAGTACATTTCCCCTCCCCCTTGTAGCTGCTCCGAACATTTACACTATTCTCTCGGGTGAGTATATTACCTCTGCGAAGCTCTAAAGTTCTATTGTGATATTGTCATTAATATCATTTGGATGACTGATGAAACTTGCAACAGTGTTTGACAAAAAAATTTCATGTGGGATAAATGTTCTGTGATATCTCATTAGGAGTGAAGAATTGAATTACAAGGGAACCATTTATTAGGAAATGTTTGTAGAATGTTTAAGATTCAATGGGTTATTTAAATTCTAAAAAAATTCGTTTTAAGAATACAGACTATTGTGTACATATGCACAAAGAAGCAAATATTGATAGACTGTGGATTAATCTGTATTGTGGGAATAGGGGGGTACCATGAAAAGAGTTATGGTATTTGTATGTTTGTGTTGTCATATTTACACTGCAGACTTTGCAGGGCTTCTCTTTGTATCAACAAACAAGATATCTATAGCAGTATTGCTACTGTCCATCTGTTTTATTCCATGGGTTACACTGCAGGTGTGTATACATGAGAAGTCATTTATAATGAAGAAAATATCATCACCTTTATTTTTTGATTGAAGAAAAGTTTTCAAAAAAGTACATGTTATTTTTGTGAAACAAAATCAATGTAACAAAAACACAAATCTAGCTGTAAAAACAACTTTGGAATACCATATGTTATCATACAATCACATCACAGGTAGTCAATGGGTAATTTACTTAATTAATAATTTTTCAGTGATGTTATTGAATAATTGGATACTGGAGGCAATATTGATTCAAAGTCTTACATCAAACAAGTGATTTATCATTAGGAGAGCACTGATATACATGTACCATCCTCAGATAAATCTTATGCATACACTTTTGATCCATCTTTTGATTTAAAAAATATTTTTTATTATGAATGAAATAAAAAAAGGAATGAATTAACAAGCACTGCCTTGATCCATCCTTTATAGAGGAAATTGCTGAAACTTTTACTTTGTGAACTCTCTGACTTTCTTTAAGGTAATGTCATTGCCATTTTAAAAAACAACACTCCATTAAAACTTTTCTTCTTAGGTATAAAATTTCAAACAGTGCCAAGGTTTGGTTGGACAAAATCTATAAACCCACTTACTTAATGAATCTTTTTTTTTTATTTGTATGAATGGGAGGGGGGCCTTACAGGCTAGTTTTTCGTGATCTTTTGTATTATTGATGCAGTCTGTTCTGTTGTAAATTTTCATACCATCTGAAAAATATATTTTGTTTCTTTAGTAATTTGCCATAATTCCTTGAGTTCCAAGGTATATACATGTATGTCAGTAGGTCTTGTGGTAATCATATTCTGATCAGTCATAAGATTAAAACAAAAGTGAAAACTCAGATGAATTGCTTGTTTGATGGTGAGATTAGGACCAATGTATAAATAAACAAATCAATCAATCTGGCTCTATAATCTTAAAACAGTTTGCCAAAAGCATGCATGGTCCTCTTTTAGATGTTTAGTGGTCATGTTCAGAAATTGCAGCTTTTAAAGTTTTTTTTTAAAATGAAATTTCATCATTGATAACAGGAGCTTCTTTTAACTTCCCATCAGTCTTATTATGGAACATCAACCATATTTATTTTTGTATTTTTTCTCCATAAAGGTCATCATCATAAGTAGCTCTTCTGAATGGCCTTTTCCTTGAAATGTTAAATCCCTCTCAGGCATTGTTTATGATGCAATACAAAATGTCATAGCCATTCCAATAAGTTCAGATACTGTACAACATGGAAAGCTATTGGAATTTTTTGTGCAATTAAACTTTCTGACAAGTAAAGATAACTTGAATTTTACTTTTTTTTCACATTTATTATCACATTGAAGTGTAATTTAAAATGACAAAATCTTAATCAAAATTATTTATTTATTTATTTTTGGCATGTACTACCAGTATTATCATGATTATAGGCCGTGGGAAAGAAATATTAGCTAGTAGCCTTTAGTAAGAAGTACCAATTGTCTGCAATAGATTATTTGTTTGATGGAGAGATCAAAAGTTCATTGTTTGATAATGCACATGATAAGTCTTGTCAACATTAATGATTTCTGTGTAAGCCATGATTTCTTCTTCCATTGGCCATCCTTTTGATTCAATCAGACCTGCATAGGAAATTATTGTCTAGCATGATTTGTGGTAAAAACTCATTATTGATGGTTTGCCTAAGCAATTGTTTTTGAGATAAAGATATTAAAAATTGTCCAGGAAGTCTTTTTGCTTATCTCTCTCAAGGGGGCCTTTTTAAGTTTGGAATATATGATTTGTATTAGTATTTTGTCTAGTCTGTGTCTTTTTGACACTTGAATACATGGAAGAAATGGCAGACAGTAATGGGCTAGACTCCATCTTTGACACTATCAAGCCTCTTTGATGCAGTTATTGAATCACTATTTGCAAGTCAAATAAAATACATTTGTAATCTTTTGTAAGCTGTTGCAAGCAGCAGTTGTAATTTTGCTGCATAGTAAGTGGAATTCAATATTCTGTAATTTGCAATTCTCCCCAGGAAGTGGTGAACTTAATAAGGGTAATTATTTGACCAGAGTGAAGTTTATTTTGCTAATGTATATACCACAATATTAGCAAGGCACCATTTTATATTCATTTAAAATCAATCCTGGCAAGAAATAATTGATCTATTTTCCTTCCACTTTCTTTAATTTACATAGGGTGAGTTCACCATGCATCGGACACATACCTTGCTTCGGACAACTTTAGGCAATAAACTCTCTTTCAACTTAAGAGTTCTGTGTATTTATTTGTTTCTGTCAAAAAGATGAAGATTTAAATTTTTTAATGATACCGATTGTGTTTATCATGTTGTGATAAAAATACCCCGCAAATGGCCTTGAAGTTACGTCATATTTTAGATCATCAAAGGGGAATTACCCGAAATTTATGATTTTGCGATTTTTAGAGTTATCGTTCTTTTAAATTCGACTTCCACGGAACGAGTCGGACTTTGGTGAATTTTGTCAAGGATTGGTAATTTTACAAAAATTATAAAGAAATTTCACTTCAATGTTTGTTTAATTCTTATTAGAGCTGGTTTTTACTATTATGCTAATTTCACCGTACATCGGACACAAATTAACCATGCATGAGGTAAACACTACCATATTCATACAGAACCCAGCTGACAGCTGTTTTTTGCCGAAAAAGAAAATAAAAACTCTATATTTTCAGTCAAAATACAAGTTATCGATATATGACGTCTGGAATTTAACTCAATTTATTTCTACAAACCAGAGTATGATAAACCATGAGAAAAAGGCGCGAATTACCGCATTATAAGCATTTTAAAGCATTTCTATGGCAGAGTGAGGTATTCTGAATCGTTCTACATTTTAGCAATAATATCGTCAATCAAATTTAAGTTGAGGGTTATTTCTTAGATAAAATATGAAAATATATCCATATAAAGGATTTTAAAGCACTGTGATAAAGGTATGATATTTTTTCAGTCTAAATACCGTCTGTCCGATGCATCGTGAACAATGTCCGATCCATGGTGAATTCTCAGTTATTCCTAAAAACTCGATTTTTGGGGATATTTTCTCAATAAAGGGCATATAATTGTGTCCTAAATTTATATTTTAATCACAAACTAAATGTTAAACTCCATTTTGATGATTTTCCGTCGATGGCGATATCGCTAGAACTTGTTGAAGTACAAGGGTATCCGATGCATGGAGAATTCACCCTACTCTGTGACTGAGTGAGATTGAGCCCATAGATCCTTCATAATTCCAAGTGAGATTAAGCCCATAGCCCCTTATTCCAAGTGAGATTAAGCCCATGGCTCCTTAACTCTGTGATTCTAAGTGAGATTAAGTCCATAGCTACTTATTCCAAGTAAGGTTAAACCCATAGCTCCTTATTCCAATTTAGATTAAGCCCATAGCTCCTACCTCTGTGACTCAAGTGAGATTAAGCCCACAGCCCCTTATTCCAAGTGAGATTAAGCCCATGGCTCCTTAACTCTGTGATTCTAAGTGAGATTAAGTCCATAGCTACTTATTCCAAGTAAGGTTAAACCCATAGCTCCTTATTCCAAGTGAGATTAAGCCCATAGCTCCTACCTCTGTGACTCAAGTGAGATTAAGTCCATAGCTTATAAATCTGTGACTCTAAGTGAGATTAAGTCCATAGCTCATAACTCTGTGACTGAGCGAGAATAAGCTAATTATAGTACCCGCTCAAGTGAGATTGAGCCTAAAGCTTCTACTCTGTGACTGAGTGAAATTAAGCTCATAGCTCCTTTTTCTGTAACTCTTTGTGAAATTCAGCCCATAGATGCTTACTCTGTGTCTGTCAGTAGCTGCTTACTCTGTGACTCTGAGTTAGATTAAATCCATATCTCCTTACTCTTTACTCTGAGTGAGATTGAGGTCTTAGCTGCTTACTCTGTGACTTTGAGTGAGATCAAGCCCATATATCCTTAATCTGTGCTTCTGAGTAAGATTTTGTCAATAGCTGCTTACTCTGTGACTGTGAGTGAGATTATGTCAATAGCTGCCTACTCTGTGACTCTGAGTGAGATTATTTCAATAGCTGCTTACTCTTTACTCTGAGTAAGATTATGTCAATAGCTGCTTACTCTGTGACTCTGAGTGAGATTATTTCAATAGCTGCTTACTCTTTACTCTGAGTAAGATTATGTCAATAGCTGCTTACTCTGTTACTTTGAGTGTGAATATGTCAATAGCTGCTTACTCTTTACTCTGAGTAAGATTATGTCAATAGCTGCTTACTCTGTGACTTTGAGTGAGATGAATCCATATCCCCTTACTCTTTAGTCTGAGTGAGATTAAGCCCATAGCTGCTTACTCTGTGACTGTGAGTGAGATTATGTCAATAGCTGCTTACTCTAGGGCTCTGAGTGAGATTATGTCAATAGCTGCTTACTCTTTGCTCAGAGTGAGATTGAGCCCATAGCTGCTTACTCTGTGACTCTAAGATTATGTCATTAGCTACTTACTCTGTGACTTTGAGTGAGATCAAGCACATTGCT